GATTTTCATACCTCTTCCCAATGACTCATAGTGATAACTTAGAGTAGACTAGAGTCTTTTCAGTCAAATTAGTGCACAGTGGTAGTCAGAGACCCATGGCCAGGGTAAGACAGACAGAGAACCATGGCCAGGTTAACAGGGTTGGTTATGTTTCCACTTGACACTGCAGAAATATGTATTCGATGTTTCTGTATTCCTATTGGTTGGTTGAATTTACATATCAATAAGGTGTTATGCTATTGGTCATGCTTGCAGATAGTGGGAGATCGCGAACGTAAATTCTTCCCAGTCTGATATTGACATGCAAGCGGTAGGTCACGTTCTGAAATACTATATTCTACAATGTGTACGAGTTCACTACGTACATGTCCTGATGTGTATACAGTGCCTTCAGAAAGTATTCACACCCCTTAACTTTTTCCACATTTTCTGGTGTTAAAGCCAGAATTTAAAATGGATTAAATAGAGATTTTTTTGGTCACTGGCCTACACACAATAATACCCCATAATGTCAAAGTGGAATTAGGTTTTTCGAAATATTTACAAATGTATTACAAATGAAAAGTAAGAACAATAAGTATTACATCCCTTTGTTATGTGAAGCCTAAATAAATTCAGGAGTAAAAATTGACTTAGCAAGTCACAAAATAAGTTGCATGGACTCACTCTGTGTGCAATAATAGTGTTTAACATGATTTTTTGAATGACTACCTCATCTCTGTACCCCACACATACAATTATCTGTAAGGTCCCTCAGTCGAGAAGTGAATTTCAAACACAGATTCAACCACAAAAACCAAGGAGGTTTTCCAATGCCTCGCAAAGAAGGGCACCTATTGGTAGATGCGTAATTTCTTTTTAAAGCAGACATTGAATATCTCCTTGAGCATGGTGAAGTTATTAATTACATTTTGGATGGTATATCAATACACCCAGTCACTACAAAGATACAGGCGTCCATCCTAACTCGGTGTCCGGAGAGGAAGGAAACCGCTCAGGAATTTCACCATGAGGCCAATGGTGACGTTAAAACTGTTACAGAGTTTAATGGTTACTCCACAATACTAACCTAATTGACAGAGTGAAAAGAAGGAAGCCTGGACAGAATAAAAAATATTCCAAAACATGCATCCTGTTTGCTAAAAGGCACTAAAGTAATACTTCAAAAAAATTTGCCAAAGCAATTCAGTTTTTGTCCTGAAAGCAAAGTGTTATGTTTGGGGCAAATCCAATACAACACATTACTGAGTACCACTCTCTGTAAGGTTCTGTATTTATTTTCTTAGTCAACCTTGTGTTCTTGAACGTAGCCCTGTTTCTTTGTGTTCTTGAACGTAGCCCTGTCTTTCATTTTTGTTCATTGAGGTCCTCTGTAGCTCAATTGGTAGAGCATGGCGCTTGTAACGCCAGGGTAGTGGGTTCGATCCCCATTCCCCGGGACCACCCATATGTAAAAATGTATGCACACATGACTGTAAGTCGCTTTGGATAAAAGCGTCTGCTAAATGGCATATTATATTATTTCACCTGTGTTAGTTACTCACCTGGTCTCATCAGCTCCTTATTTAGTTCATTCTGTTTGTGCCTTGTGAGGTATTGTTCGGTTTGTCTCCACTAAGCCTTTTCCTAGCTCGTTTGTGAGAACCAGTTATAGTCTTCAGTCCTAGTTTTGTTTCACCTGCCTGTTTGCCTACCTGTGACCACGATTCCTGCCTTCTGCGAAGGCGAAATAAACACCTGCCGCGCTCTGCGCGTGAATCTACACCTTTTTCTCCCTGAGTATTCATTACACTCTCCATATTTTATTCATAGTGTTGGCTGCATCATGTTATGGGTATACTTGTTATCGTTAAGGACTGGGACGTTTTTCAGGATAAAAAATAAACGGAATGGAGCTAAGCACAGGCAAAATCCTAGAGGAAAACCTGGTTCAGTCTGCTTTCCACTAGACACTGGGAGATGAATATGAATTCACCTTTCAGCAGGACAATAACCTGAAACACAAGGCCAAATCTACACTGGAATTGCTTACCAAGAGGACAGTGAATGTTCCTGAGTGGCCGAGTTACAGTTTTGACATAAATCTGCTTGAAAATCTATGGCAAGACATGAAAATGGTTGTCTAGTAATGATCAACAACCAATTTGACAGAGCTTGAAGAATTTTGAAAATAATAATGGGCAAATGTTGCACAATCCAGGCGTGGAAAGCTCTTAGAGACTTACCCAGAAAGACTCACAGCTGTAATCGCTGCCAAAGGTGATTCTAACATTTATTGACTCAAGGGGTTGAATACTTATCTAATCAAAATATATTTGTGTTTTATTTTTCATAAATGTTTTACAAATGTTAGAATTTTTCTTCCACATTGACATTACAGAGTATTTTGTGAAGATCATTGTCAAAAAATGACAATTAAAGCCAGTTTAATCCCACTTTGTAACTGTGGAAAAAGTCAAGCGGTGTGAATACTTTCTGAAGGCATATGTGTAGAGTACCTGTTAGATATTGGGGGCATCCTGGGATGTGCTTTTGTATGTTATTGCTGTAAGAGCGAATTAGCTATCATGCTCGAGATGTAGTGGTTGCATTAGTCTCTGCTAATTCATAGTTATTTCCTTGCTAACAGATAAATAATGAAACTACAGCCATCAGCATACTGTTGTCCTGCACATCTAATGGCCTTCCTTGTGTCTGTCGTCAGGTACTTACATTTATTGTATTTTGTACTATTTTTGTCATGGTTATGATGTTTGATTACAAAATACCCATTCTGATATTGAATGCAAGCGATGAATCACGAATCTACAGCCATCAACATACTGTTGTCCTGCACATTTAATGGGCTTCCCTGTGTCTATCCTCAGAACAAACATCAATCAACTTGGCCCGCTGGCTGGGTATTCCTTTCTTTAAAATCACAACGCAAGAGAGTTACGATATACGATCACATCTATTAAACTTGTGTCGAGACCAGTCTTCTTGTCTACGCTGGACATCTGTTGCACCAGGTTAACAAAGAGACCCATGGTCAGGTTAACACAGAGACTCATGGTCAGGTTAACACCGAGACCCATGGACAGGTTAACACAGAGACCCATGGTCAGGTTAACACAGAGACCCATGGTCAGGTTAACACAGAGACCCATGGTCAGGTTAACACCGAGACCCATGGACAGGTTAACACAGAGACCCATGGTCAGGTTAACACCGAGACCCATGGTCAGGTTAACACAGAGACCCATGGCCAGCCCACTGGCATAAACGTCAGTTCAGCGTCTATTTTTGTTGTCAACTAACATGAATTCAACGTGAAATCATCATGACATTGGATTTAGGTTGGGTAAAAATAGACTAAATTCCCTTACGCTGATGACATTTTGCAATTTCAATCAGTTTTCTATGTTGATTCAACGTCATCACATTTAATTTCTTGGGTTGAAATGATGTGGAAACAACATTGATTCAACCAGTTTTTGCCCAGTGGGAGGTTAACACAGAGACCTATGGCCAGGTTAACACATAGACCTATGGCCAGGTTAGCACAGAGAGAGAACCATGGCCAGGTTAACACAGAGAGAGAATCATGGCCAGATTAACACATAGAACTATGGCCAGGTTAGCACAGAGAGAGAACCATGGCCAGGTTAACACAGAGAGAGAATCATGGCCAGGTTTACACATAGACCTATGGCCAGGTTAGCACAGAGAGAGAACCATGGCCAGGTTAACACAGAGAGAGAATCATGGCCAGATTAACACATAGAACTATGGCCAGGTTAGCACAGAGAGAGAACCATGGCCAGGTTAACACAGAGAGAGAATCATGGCCAGGTTTACACATAGACCTATGGCCAGGTTAGCACAGAGAGAGAATCATGGCCAGGTTAACACATATACCCATGGCTGGTCAGGTTAACACAGAGACCCATGGCTGGTCAGGTTAACACACAAAAACCATGGCCAGGTTAACATAGAGACCCATGGCTAGGAGAACCATGGCCATGTTAACACAGAGACCCATGGCCAGGTTAACACAGAGAGCCCAGGCCAGGTTAAAACAGAGAACAATGGCCAGGTTAACACAGAGAGCCCAGGCCAGGTTAACACAAAGACCCATGGTTGGCCAGGTTAACACAGAGACCCAGGTTAATTACACAGAGACAGAGACCCAGTCCAGGTTACCAGCATCGTTCCAGCTGGCAGTGAGTCAACACTGCACTGGCAGAAAGTCTTGTTTAATGCGGCTCACAAACTTTTGTCGCAAATGGCTCCAGGAGATGAAACAGCATGGCTTAATAAGGTGTTAAATTGGACATGATCATTGGACAGAAGGCTAATTTTATGCAACCTCTTATTGCTTCTTCTCCATCTTCATTAATCTGGCCATTTGTTTTTGCTCCCTAGCTGGGGGAGGAGGACGGGAGTGTGAAAGCGTGAACAGTAGAGTTAGAGAGCTAAGAAAATGGAATATGGTACAGAAATAGGATTTTGTTGGTGTGATTTTATACTATTGTTACTTCTGACATTTGCTTAGAGCAATTCTCATAAAGCAAGCAAGTTATTGAGGAGTTTTGAGACTTGAGAAATGCTTGATTAAAGCAATCTACAAAAGGCCAGGAGGATTTGCCTGCAATTTGCATACAGCCTGACAAGCAGGTGTTGAAAAGCCTACTAGATACAATACATGTGAGTCTCCTATATTTCTACCCAATATCCCTTGATAGCCCATAGATTGGGACAGATATTTAGGGGGAACAAAGAATAGAATCTTGGGCAAAAATACATGGTATTGAGGAGAAATATAGTAACACGTTTTTAGTTCATACATAAAATCCAGATTCCCTAGCATCTTTTGAAGCCTGTCATACGTTGTAGTTGACAAAGACGAGGGTCAACAAAGATTTGCGTGACAGTGTATATTGTTATGATGACATAATAAGCCTTTTTCTTTTGTCAGCACCAGTGTTTATTTAATTTTTTTCCTGTGTCTCTTTCTCTGTGTTTCTGCAGGTTGGATAGTGGCAATAGTGTAAGGGACAAGTAGAACCAAGCTAAATTGATGGATGTTTCTCAAGAACCCAACTTTGCTGTGCTGGCTCCAAACCTGGAACAGATCAACAAAGAGGATGAGAACGGTAAAGACATGTGTATGTTGCTTTGCTAGAAACACTATACTTGAATCAAAAAAATAATGGACACACCAAGATGTAATTCCTCACCACAGGTGTATATCAACACTTATAGATGATAATTTATCATATCGTACTGTATGTTTTAGCATTTTAAAATATGTTTTTATTAAGGAACAGAGGGAATGCTGCTACATTATCACAGTACATTATGTCCTGCTGGTTACAAGGAGGCACAGAGTTCTTAAATGGAACAAGATGCTATGCATTGTTTTCACCTCCTCTGCTATTTAGTTTGCCTGTGACCTTCACAGAACTGAAAGGCAAGAAGCCACAGCCTTGTTATTTAGTGACCTTAACTTTTGCTGCATCTGAATGGATGAGCAATGTTTCAATGCTCAGAGACGGTCCAATGTGTGGAATGTTTTCCTCAATTTTTTACTTCTGAAAGTACTTATCATCCTTTCCCACCCCTTACGACCCTGAATGTCAAAGGGGGAAGACCACTCACAAAGACGAGGGGAAAAGGTTATTACCTTTGTCATTCCTTCCATACATCCTATAAATACATGAATCAGAGTAAGAGAAGAGGCAGAGCAGAGGTCTTATTTAAGAGTGAAAAATAGGCTAATTACATATTTCCACTATAATTGTCCCATTACTTTCTATTGGGTATTTTATTCTCAATGTATTCTTATCACAAATTATAAAGCACAAGAAACACAATGATGAGAAAATGATGAGCATTTCATTTTCCTCAATAAAAAGCAGAATTCACCTTTTCAGCTTGAATTATATATATTATTCCTTGTCTTTGTACAAAATGATTACTTTGTGCAGCCTGATTGAAAAAACATGACCTGTGCATTTGATCAACTGTAAGAGAGACTAGGAACATACATTGAGCTGAAAATGAAAAATAATTAAAGATAGGAAATAGTAGAGTATATTAAAATGTCCTCTCATATAGGACAGTATATTAAAGTACTCTCACATTGTCCATCAGTGAGTTCACTGGTGAATTAGTTGATATCTGATATCATCTCTCTGTTCTGCTCTACAGAATCACACATCCAGAACAGTAATCTGAAGCCAGACAGCACCGCCATCCCACCTACAGCCAATCAACCAAAAGGAGGCCATGAGTGTGAGAGGACCTCACTGAGCCCATCCTCACCCCTCAGCCCAACAGAGACCCCTGAGCCCAGTATCACCACCACTACCACTGATGACTCCTCTTCCACCCACGCTATCTCCCTCACCTCCTCTTGCACCACCAAAGAGGTGAGTCCCTGGGCTCTTCCAGAGGACTGTAGTAACAAGGCAGCTTTCACAATAATGGAGATAGGGAGTGTATCGGCCCTGTCTGGAGGGGACTGCCTCATGCCACAAAGCCGCACATGCCTGGGCTGTTTCATCGAGACCAAGGACGCTACAGAGCCTGAGCCAGGGCTGGACCTGGGCCAGGACTATGACCCATGTCCTGTCTCCTGTCCTGACATGGCCATGCAGTGCATGAGTTCTGGGGATGGTATCCGCTACGGGGATCAGCTGCTCTCCGACCAGCTCCTCAGCTACCCAGAGCACAAGGTCAGGGCAGAGGAGAAGACAGATGATGAGAAGTCAGCGGAGGACAGCGACTCGGAGGACGCCACGTCGAAGAGTATCTACGAAGGCCTGCTCCTTGACAAGTGCAACGGTGAGGAGGCTCTGCTGGCCAACTCCAGCCAGGACTGGGGCTGCTTTGAGTCCTTTATCAGCGAGAGTAAGATCGAGCTGCTGGACCTGTGCTCTAAGAACGAGCTCTCTGTCAACCTCTTCTCAGAAGAGGACGTAGACAACTATATGTTTGATGATGAGGACGAGGACTCCACCCTGGGCAGTGACGTGTGCTCGCTGAAGATCCGCTACGAGTCCTTCCAGGACAACATCCGAGAAAAGACCAATGCCATTCAGGAGGAAACCCAGTTCAACTTCTTCCCAAGTGTCGTGGCCAAAAAGGAGGGCGAAGGAGCAGTGAAGAAGGGAGCTGAAGGGCCGCAGGTGAAGGGAGAGATAGTTGAAGTCTGGGCGGCTGGAGAAAAGGTTGACAAAAACAACAGCAGCAGCTCTGCTGAAGTGACCCCGAATGTCAGTCCAGAGAGCAGCTACCTGTTTGACTTCAACAATTCCACAGTCGACTCTGGAGAGTACAGCGATGACAGCTCCTGTACTGGATCCTCCCTTGACACCTGCCAGACTAAACAGAAACACTGCTTCCTCTCCAGGGAGAACTCCAGCTCCTCTAGCCAGCTGAGCTATGGGCTGAGGTCCAAGAGAAAAGTCAGATACAGCGATGACTATCTGTACGACGTGGACTCTATCGAGAGTGAGAGGAACACAGAGAAAAAAGACAAGCAGACGGTGGGTCCAAAGAAAGAGGAGGATGATGACTGGTGTCCAAAGAAGAGGAGAAAATCCTCACGAAAAGAGCCTCCGGTGATAATCAAATACATCATCATAAACCGATTTAAAGGGGAGAAGCACATGTTAGTAAAGCTTGGCAAAATTGACACATCAGAGACAACAGTAAGCTTAAGTAAGGACTTAGTTCATAAGTACCAGAGAATGGCCCCTCTGAAAGATTACTGGCAAAAGAGGCGGCAGGAAATGCAGGAGCAGCGCATGCTGGCTGCTGGTGATAAAAACACATTTCCAAATGGCTGCAGGCGTTCCCTTAATTCGAGCCTGACAAAACGAAAATACAGGATTGCAAATAGAGTCCGGATTCAAAGAATTCACGCTGTAAAGCTTTCGCCAAACCACACCGATCACAACCAAGAGGTGGGCGCAGCTGAGGATGAGGCTGCCTGTACAGATATGGAATCTATATCAACAACGACCTCCGACTGTGCTGCTAGATTAGACCAAGGCAGTGTGACTGGAAAAAGCAGATTGCTAGAGAGGGAGGGGAAAATACTTGGGAATAAGAATGTGCAAATAAGGAAGTTTAAAAGCGAGGCCAGACTGAGGTTGAAAAAAATGAAAGAGGCTCAGCAGGAGGATGGTAAAACTGTGATACACCTACAAGAGGTTGGCCCACTATCCCCAAATTGGAACCCTGACATAGTTTACTCCACCGCAGGCAGCCCCCAGCTTTGTGATGACTCCACTGTCAGTGTCGACCCCAATGAAAAGTCAATTTTTATACCAGCCCCCTGCTCCCCTTCCAGTACAATGACCCATCCTGTAAATGTGAATAGTGGTCTACATGTCATCCCTGGAGGCTACCTGCAGACATTACTAGATGCCTCCGACTCATCCAGTAACACTGGGCTGACATATTACTCCCAGCAGCATCAGCAGCATCCCCGACAGCAGTTTCCTCATGGCCTTTCCCAGGAGGAGAATCCATTCACTAACCTACAGCTGGCCCAGAGCTGTGTTCTATCCCCTCCCTCGGAGTCCGAGCTCCAACAATCCCCCTCTAACTGCTCCAATCAGATGGAGCCAAACTTCACTCACACATCATGGCAGTCTGGAGGTGAACAGTTACCATTTACACCTGATATTCCACCTGAATCTGCTGGTTTTTCCAGCACAATCTCTTTGCCAATGACAAACAACTTGTCATTGTCAGGATATAGTCAAGTCAATGTAGATGGCAACAGACTGCTGTATGATAAGGCATATTTGCCTGAGGAGCCACCAGGACTAGACTCAGGTCTACAGGTCAGCCAGTCAGCTGAAGAGGAACAGGTGCAGTTCCATAGAGTCACTCTAAACACAGAGAATGGCAGGCTGGCCAGCTATGACTCTATGAGTTCACTGTCTGCCACCTCCAGCAGCTACAGCTCTATGAGTCTCAAGTCCTGTGAGAAGGAGAGTGAAGAGGATGTGAACGAGAACTTCTTGGCCCACTGCAGTCCCAAACTGGTGATCCAGCAAAGTACGGATGAAATCACTCCCCTCAGGGAGTCCACAGACCTACTGGACATCTCCAACTTCACCCCCGATAAGTTCAGGCACTCGCCGCTGTCAGAGATGTCGCCACCCGACACACCAAATCTCTCCCCACAGGTGATGGGGACAGAAATTAGAGAAAGCCTAGGAAAGGCCAGGGAGTTTCAGGGAGAGACAGGAGACATGACTCTCTCAGCTACACCTGATGGGACTAAGTGGGACTGTAATGTCCTGCCACAACAAAATCATGATGGCAGAGCGATAAACAATCATCAGTTCCAGTTCCATACTTTCAATGACAATGATGGCACAGGTAAGATTGATGGCATGGACGTCTTTGATGAGCAGGCCGAATCCATCGGAGGTCGAACTAAAGGTCCCAAGTCAAAAAGGAAAACAACCAGCAAACAGAAAACCAAGGGTCCAAGGGCCCCCAAGACAGAGAAGAACAAAGCCCCTAGACAGAATTCTAGTTCATCCAAAAAGCTAAAAGCCCTGCTTGATGCAAAGGCGAATGCAAAAGGTGAAGAAAGTGAAGGGCTTTTTGGACTGTCAGAAGACTGGCCTTTACTGGAGGAGCACGGTGGGGGCTGGGCAGACGGCAACAACAACAGTCCTGTGGATGACGACCAGCGAGAGTTTGAAGAGCCCTCCAACATCCTGTCCAACATAGCCTCTGGGATGGCAGAGGTCCAGAGGTTTATGAAGGTGTCCATCGAGCCACTGTGGGACCCCATGTCTGGACTCTGTCAGCCTCCAGATGCCAACAGCCTTAAAACTAAGACACTTAAAATCCTGGCGGGAACGACAGCTAATGTCAGGAAAAAGGGTGGTTATGCCACCTCCCCTGTGGTAGGAAGGGGCAGGAAGGCAACTGGCATGGGAGCCAAAAACCAAGCCAAGTTAATTCCTTCAAACCCCTTCTTCCCCCCTCTCATGCTAGACTGCAACATATTCAACAAGTCCAGCCTCGGTATACCTGGCATCTGTGGGCCCGCACACAAAAAAATGTACCGTCACAAAACCGGTGCCAAATTTGCTCGAGACGAAAACAATACAGGGAAGCGGGACTCGAGCAAGAACACAGCTCTGATGGCCTCTTATGAGAAACTGAGGTAATATTTTCTACCAGTGGCTGCAAAATATGTCCCACTCACTCTATTTCCTCCCGCCCCTTGCTCAGTTCCCTGGGTTCCCTTACTGCTCTCCCTTTTTGACTTAAATCCAAGTGTTGCATGGCAAGGACATTAATCCTGACTACCCCACCTGCATATTTTACCCTAAATAGAGCCGAAATAACTTGCATGTAAGATTTTATTTGTTCCTGAGAAACTACCTATTGAGTGATTGATTGTCTTCAGCTTGACCGGGTTTTCAAACTACCGTGGCTACATTTTGTTTCTGACTGCTGCTTGATTCACCTTTCTTGGTCTTTGTTACTTTAGGTTTGACTTTTGTATAATAAGAAAGATTGCCTTGAAACTGTTTTGAAAATAATTTTTGTGATTCTTAATGGTTTGCTTTGTTTTTTCATTTCTCCATTTCATCAGAACAGCTTGCCCCACCTTAATAATGTCCAAATTCAGTTTATGGCTCTAAAATCACAGTTCAAAAGTTGTCCGTCCTTACATTCAGACGGTGGTTTCCTTCAGTGTAAGAAGAGAGAGTGGAGTGAGTCATAAGGGAACAATTACAGTAGGCCTATCCTATCATTACTGATATCACCCAGCCATTCCATTTGTGGATGTTTCACTGGTGTTGGAGAACTGTATCGCTGTTCTCCTGCGAACCAGACTTTTCATACTAAAAAAGGGGACTTTTTTGTATTAACAATAAGACAAATTTATCAAACTGTCCTAATTGTATTAATATCTTTAAATGGTATTATTTGTCATTGGCTTATTGCCAAGGTTTGGGGAGAGTTGGTGGGAGAGTAAGTGGAGTAAGTACCCAAAATTGCAATTTGTTAATGCTATTGTACAGAGACATATGCACTATTTGTAGAATAATTATAATGTTGAAAATTGAATTAATGTGCCAAATGTTGATCAAGTACCTGTATAAACATTTTATATCTGTATGTATATTGGCTGTTTCATGTTCTTTTTGTTACGGTTGTGGGGTGTGGGTTATGGACTGTGGTGGCCGGTCGACATTCCAGAGATCTTACACTTGGGATCCATTCCATTTGCCAAGCACATGCAGCTGACAGTGATACACCTTTTACCAAAATGCAAATGACTGTCTTTTCTTTCATACATTCTTTTGAAATTATTGCCATCTGAACTCAAAATCAACAGCCAGCATGGCGATACTGAGAAGGGGATTAAATATGCTCTAACAGGTTAGTTAAATCTAGAGCTTCGTACTACAAGGTTCTATCTGCATTTTTGTCAAAATGTAGTTATTGACATAGCCTTGATCTGTTCAATGTTCTCTACCTATACTCTAAATACCCCAATTCATGTTGTTAAGTTCAAAAGAATACAAGAAAAAAATTGCTGACACCATTCAAACCAATGAGGGTTCGGAACTTTGAAGCCAATTATCTCACAATCATATTTTTGCAGATAGAACCTTATAGTCCCAAGCGCTTGAAATCTTGAGGTTTGCATTTGTACTATACTCAAGATTAGCACACTAATTATTGTAATCTCATGCATTCACCTACCACTGCACTAACATGGAGCTCTATATTAGATTTCTACAATTTATTTCAACTGACAAATTGATACTATCCATCAGAGATCGATATTTATTGTGAAGACCTTTGTTTCTCGAAACCCCCTTTCCCCTCCATCTTCTCCAAGTTGCCAGGCTAGCCATTGAGACGGGGGATCAGGACAGGTGTCACCACCAGCTGGTGTGGAGCAAACTGCCTTTTATCATCCCTGCCCATTGTCAATTGAATGTACTGTACTTCCTCTCCAACAAGAGTTGTAAATGATGTACCACTGTTGAGCTGCCTCGGGAAGGTGCTTGAAAGCAAATTAATTTACAGGTAATTGAAAAAAGGATGAAGAAATCCTCTGTGCCCTATTTATGAATGTATTAGATACTGTTATGTTTGATGTAGCCTAATTCCGCCATGATTTTGACATTAATAGAAATTATGTTTTGCCTTTTTTGTTGAAAATAATATTGAGCTTTATAAATATTGTCAGAGTTGTTGCCAGAGGGATTCCAAAATAACTCTTGACGTCCTCGATGAATCTTGTATATTTTTCAGTGTGCTGATTTGTAAAATATTTTCTATGTGTATATTTTTCTTAGAAAGTGCTGTGAAGTATTTGTGAGTGTGGATACTCTTTTTTCACCTTTACAGACAGTGAAAGGGATGCATAATGACATGCCTCTGGTTTTAAAAACCAAAAATAACAAACATGACAAAAAAACTACAAAAAAGGAGAGGGGAAAACACTGGAAAAAAAGCTGTAACATTTTGTCGGAAGTTTTGTAATCAGACCAATCTTGTTGTGGGAGTGCAGTGCTACTGTGTAAAAAGTATGATCAAACAAAAAGAAAAACTGAAATAAAGACATGTTTGTGATTTTATTGCTGTTTTATAGATTTTCATGTAAATCATTCTAGGATTATTTTGTTTTGTTGTAACTGTTGCAAAGGTTTAAATATTTGTGGACACGCCTGTATGGTGACAATGTAATATTGGTAACTTGCTGAGTTTTGTAATAATGTTTATGGAATAAATATAAAATAAAAATGAGCTTTTGATTGCTGCTTTCAGATGAGGTCTCCATTTTCTTCTCTGTAGGGACTGTATTGGCCTCTTTCTGAAAATGTATACAGTCCTTATGTTGCATGCATCTTGAAGATTTCAAGAAGTGTTGAAAGATTTATTGTAGTCCGTGCATGTGTTTGCATGTCTGAAAATAGATTAATTCCCAGGACTCCACAAAATGCTAAACATGTTACTTCATATACTTTTTCTTTTCAGATATTTGCTTTGATGAATAGGCACGTGTTTAGAGAGACTACAATCTATCTACTCCAGTGGCGTGTATTCATGGATGCCAAGGGAAGCCAGGCTTCCCCAAAAAATTTACACAAACAAAAAAAAGACATATAAAAGAGGCTGAATGTATCTCACCAGAGAAAGCATCTGAGCGAGTGAAACAGCGCCCCTCTGTCTCTGTATGTGTAGCCCATCTATCTGATGCTGTCTGGTCAAAAATAGTATAACATTGTTGCTGCCTGTAGCATTGAATGCAAGGGAAGCCAGCGAGCATTTGGCCTCGCTTGATAATTTTTTAAAATAAGATAATAGCCAGTCAACGTTGAGCTAAACTGAGTGAGCGCAACTGTGAATGGTCCTGGTGCACCAAAAAAAAGTGTCAAGGGAAGCCAGTTTGGATTTGGCTTCACACCAATCACATCACATCAAAAGCCAAACGTCATTGACAGAAAACTTGAATTGTTGCATTTCGTTGTGTTGTTGTCCTCTGGTGACTAGCTAGCTAGCTAAAATTGACCCTTTCCTAAATTAGCCATGGATGGAGATAGGGATTTGGACTTGTGGTTTTACTCAATTCTCCGTACTGGCCAATGATTACAATGGCGATTCTGATCCATGAAAGAGAGGAGGATGGCATTGGCGTTTCTCTACAAGTAGGGTGAGTCAACATGTTTTTTCTACTTACACACACACACACACACACACACAGAAATCAGTACCATAGACAGCCACATGATATTTAGCTTACGTTGATTGGACTAAGTTGTTTTGGGAATCTTTTAGTTGTCACTGAATTAGACTAAGCATAGGTGATTTGATGATTTTGAAATGTTTAAGTTGAAATGGTGCTGGAATAGTGAAGGCAGCTCCTGATTTCTTGGCGACTTGCGGCAACTCTCCGGTGTTCTAAATCAATAGTTGTTTAGTAGTGCTGGAAACATCAACTTCATTGACCAACTGTTTGTTACATGCAATATGCTTTGTGGACTCCACCGGACAGATGTTGCTCTCTGGTTTTGTGATGAAACAAAGGTGTGGTTGAATTTGTTCTACCACTGTGTCTTCTTATTGTCTTGGCCTTAGGCTTATATATCACGGTGGCAACAAGGCATATATGAATTAACAGGTTATAGAGCAAACAACGCAATTATCACAACACTTAGGTTGTAATATGGTTTTTTTCCCCTGGCTTGGCTTCCCCAGTGATTTTACCCACGCACCGCTACTGATCTACTCTAGATTCGGTCTTACATGGACCGGTCAAACTAGTGGCCTAATTATCATCAGGTTTTTGTGAAAAGTGTTACGTTTGAAATAGCTGGATCAATTTTTTTATCCTTTATGGCATAAACTATTCCTATGTTATGTTTAGTGGTTAGGCACAACGAACGCACAACCGATAGAGCTCGTAGTCCAGCAGATGGCATTATTCAATCTTTTTCTCTTTATGAGAAATAGTTCAAACTATCCTGGTGTATTGCTAGGCCTTGTAACACATGGTTTGCATGGATTATACATTGCACAATAGGTATGTTCATATATTTTTCTTATCCACTGCTGCACACATTTGAATTAAATAACAGCGAAATAGGAATGTGTGTGAATGTTGACTGCGACAACAAAATTCCAACCAAATTAAAAATATGATGTTGTTTATCTATTGTTTATGGTAACAGGCTAACCCAAGGTCAGCATGCTCAGTAATTGAGTGAGAGGAGTAAGAATATCTACCACTGAGAGGAAGACAACTGAATATTTATTAAATGTAACCTGGGGAGGAGGTGAGACAAAGCACAGCTATGGAAATACACAGGGTGCATTCTACAACTCTAGTTGTATCCTCCCTTTTTCCTCAAGGTAAGGAGGGGTGGAAAAGTCTCAAGGGAAAAGAGAGACTTACACATAGATAACTTTTCCACTAGGAGGCATGGATGGAGGAGATAGAATATGTGCAAACAAGGGTTTTCATTTGGAATGTAGTGATTAGACAGCTTCTGACAGCATTTTGGCCTATGCAGATCAATACACTTCTAGGCCAAGGGCTTCACATTGAGAGGGGTTGTCTATCTCCTTAACTTCATCAACACTGATCTGGACAGGTGAAACAAATTCTGGACCTCTAATACAATGCTCCTATCTACACATGTACAAAACATTAGGAACACCTCCCCCCATTCTTGATACACACAGGAAACTGTTGAGCGTGAAAAACCCAGCAGCGTTGCAGTACTTGATTAAAACCTGGCACCTACTACCACACCCTGTTCGAAGGCACTTAAATATTTTGTCTTGCCCATTCACCCTCTGAATGGCACACATACACAATCCATGTCTCAATTATCTCAAGGCTTAAAAATCCTTCTTTATGGGTTGGCCAGCCGGGATTTCCTTGTCCCATCGCACTCTAGCGACTCCTTGTGGTGGGCCGGGCGCCTGCAAGCTGACCCGGTTGCCAGCTCTGACACATTGGTGCGGCTAGCTTCCGGGTTAAGCGAGCAGTGCGGCTTGGGAGGGTCGTGTTTCGGAGGACGCATGGCTCTCGATCGTCGCCTCTCCCGAGTCTATAGGGGAGTTGCAGCAATGGGACAAGACTGTAACTACCAATTGGATATCATGAAAAAGGGGTGAAAGTACAAAACAAATTCCTTCTTTACCCTGTCTCCTCCCCTTCATCTACACTGATTAAAGTGGATTTAACAAGTGACATGAAAAAGGGATCATAGCTTTCACCTGGTCAGTCTATGTCATGGAAAGAGCAAGTGTTCTTAATGTTTTGTACACTCAGTGTATATTTTTTTCTGCAACCAGAGCACAGACATAGAGCTCAGAACCAGAGCTACCTACTCCCCCCGTCCCCCTGCTACTCCCTCTATGGACATTTCCCCCCCACATCCCCTCAACGGTTAATTACCTTACATGCTGCTCCCCATATGGACATTTGGGGGAGCACCCCAACAACATTTATCACTGTTGCAGTTGTTAATATGTATATATTTTTTTTTTAAATAAAAACAAATATTGTTTTTATTTCACTTGGTCCCCACACCCCCTAAACAGTCTTTACTCTGCCTCCACCCCAATGGACATTTATTTATTAATCACTGCTACAGTTGTGATGTATATAGTGCTATTTCTATTTTTATTGTTGTTGTTTTTTATTACCAGTTTCATTATTTTATTTCACTTAGTCCTGCATGTTGGAACTCAGAGCCTAAGATTTTCACTGTACCCTGCAATCACACCTGCAACCCTGTACATGTGACTATTGAACACTCTGAATCTGAATCTGAATATCAGAATTTGAATTTCAGAGAAGGAGCCCCTAACCATAGAATTAGGAATTAGAATACTAGAATGGACATGAACCGTCTTATGATGGGATAAAGGTCAGCCATTTTGATCAGGGAGTTGGTCAACCATGGTTTGCCAGTGCTGTGATAAGATATTGTGTAAAATAATGAA